CTTCTCTGTCTGCCTCTCACATGTATGTCCCAATTCACCTGCATAGCAACCTTCACTCTCCATTTCCCTCCCCGAGAAGGTTCTGGCTTCTTCTCTCTGGAGATGTTCAAATTGAGCTTGAGTTTATCTCTATAAACACTTCACCTTATAAAAGAAAATAGCAACAACATGTCTCCTTCTGAGCTGTTGCTGTTGAATCGTTTGACAAGGTTTGCAGAGAGTGCCTTTTAAAAGGCCCCCAAAGTAGCTCTTCTAGAAGATGACTAACATGGGTTGGGAGACGGCTGCAGGCACTGACCTGGGCATCAGGGAACCTGGTTGTTGACCCCATTCTGCCATTTTCTTTGGGTAACTTCACAGTCTCCTCCTTCCACCCCAGCCCCTCATTCTGTTTGTCATTCAATAACTTTATCACACATCTATTATGTGCCAGACCTGGTCTGAAGAGGTTGCAGCAGGGAACAAAGCAGACACAATGGTCCTGGCCCTTGTGGGGCTTGTGCTCGGGACAGGGACACAGCATGGAGCTGGTGATCATATGATGACAAAGCTTACTTTTGAAAAAATTTGTCTTTTGTTTTTTAATTGAAGTATAGTTAATTTACAATATTGTGTTAGTTTCAGGTGTACAGCAAAGTGATACAGTTATATAAATATATATATATATATACTTTTTCAGATTCTTTTCCATTGTAGGTTATTACAAGATATTGAATATAGTTCCCTGTGCTATACACTAGGACCTTGTTGTTTATCTATTTTATAAATAGTAGCTTGAATCTGCCAATCCCAAACTCCTAATTTATCCCTCCCCTTCCCTTTCCCCTTTGGTAACCACAGGTTTGTTTTCTGTGTCTGCGAGTCTCTTCCTGTTTTGTAAATAAGTTCATTTGTATCGTTTTTTACATTCCACATATCAGGGATGTCATATGATATTTGTCTTTCTCTGTCTCACTTACTTCACTTAGGGTGATAATCTGTAGGCCCATCCATGTTGCCACAAGTGGCATTATTTCGTGGGTTTTTTGGGGCTTTTTTTTACCGCTGAGTAGTGTTCCATTGTATATATACCACACCTTCTTCATCCATTCCTCTGTTGATGGACACTTACGTTGCTTCCCTAAAGCTTACTTTTGATCAATGTCACACAGATGAGCGATGTAGGTTGCTATGAGTAGAGCCAAGGTAGGAGATGGGGATGGAGTGGGAGAACTCAGGGGGCCGAGGAAGTGCAGGTGTCATTGCCCACAAGCCTGGAGGGCTAAGTGAAGGAGGGAGGCAGAGTGAGGTCCCCAAGGAAGCAGGTGTGGCTTCAGTGTCAGCACCTTCCATGACCCCTGCCCCTTTACCACCCTGTTCCACTGTGTTCGGTGCCCAGGGCAGTGACCCCGTGGCTTTGACAGCATCCATGGCTTCAGGTTCGTCAGGCTATGGGGAGACAGTAGTAGATGGAAGGGTTGGAGGAAACTGGGGTGGGGTATTGACTCCTGCAGCTCCCCCGCTGCAGGGACACCATAAGCAAGGTATTATCTGAACACCTGAAGAGGACCCTCCGGCCGGCCCCCTCCCCAGGTCCCTTCCAGGCGTGGAGTGGTCCTTGTGGGCTTTCTTCCACCCTTGGAAATAGTTTCTTTATCAAAGTCTCCTGAAGTGAGCCAACCTGGGGTCCTGCCTGATACAGTTCAGAGCCCACAGGGCTTGTAGACGCCCACCCTGTGGGCAGGGGGACTCTGCTGAGGGTCCACAGAGGGTGAATGCCTCATCCAATTTGTATGACTTTTATAACTTTCTGTGTTGATATAATTTCACACTTATAGAAAAGTTGCTAGAATAGTACTGTTATGGGTTGAATTGTGTTTCCCCCACCAAAAAAAAGAGATATTGAAGTGCTAACCCCCAATACCTCAGAATGTAACCTTGTTTAGAAACAGGGTCTTTACAGAAGGAGTCAAGTTAAAATAAGGTCGTTAGGGTGGATCCAAATCAACATGACTGTGTCCTTATAAAAAAGGGAAATGTGGGGACAGGGACAGTCATGCACAGAGGGAAGAGATACAGGGAGGAGGCCATGGGAAGGTCGGGGTGATGCCAGCGAACATCTGGGGATTCTAGAACCTACAAGAGGCAAGGAAACATCCTCCCCTATAGGGTACAGAGGAAGCAGGGCTCTGCTGACCCCTTGTCTCAGACTTCTAGCCTCCAGAGCTGTGAGACAGGAAGTTCCTGTTGTTCTGAGCCACCCGGTTTTGGGTACTTTGTTATAGCAAAGTACTCCCCAGGAAACTAATAAAAGTACAAAGGAGTTCTGTTTACTTTTCACCAGCTTCACCAATTGTAAACGTTCACCAATTGTCACATTTCTTGATTTTCTCACTAAATTTAAATATATGTGTATATTAATTAGATACATAATAGATTAGATACATAGAAGTAGATTATATATATCTCTATATATACTATACGACATATACTATAGGTATATTATAGGTATACTATAGATATATAAAGTATTAGATATATTTATTAATATATGTATTAGTATATTACTAATGTATTAATACATAATTGTGTACTTATGCTAATATATTACTATAAATAATGTGTTACGTATTAGACATATGTATATAATGAATATATATGTTAGTATAGTATTAAATATATAGTCAGTACTAATATATAACACATGGTACATATCATACATATATACTTATATACAATATATATAAATAGTTTTTTTCTGAACCATATGATGTAAGTTGAGTGCTGATTCCCTTCTCTAGAGTGACAAAATCTGGTTTGCCTGGGATTTTCCTAGCTCTAGCACTGAAAGTCCCACACCCTGGGACCCCTCAGAGTCGTGAGCAAACTGGGACTGTTGGTCACCCAACTGTTAAATATTTCAGAGTGTATTTCCTAAATGTAAGAGCAATCTCGTACATAACCACAGCACAATTATCAAATTCAGGCCATTTACCATTGCTATCATGCGTTAGCCTGTACCACAGTCCCATTCAAATCCCACCAATCGTCCCAATAAGCCCTTTACAACTATTTCCCCATCCTCATCTCCAGGGCTAGACCCAATCCAGGATTATTTAGGTATCATGTTTCTTGAGTTGCTTCTGGATGTCCAGATATTTCTTCTAGAACAGTTTCTGAGTCTTTTTGTGTGGTTGTGTGTGTGTGACCTCAGTAATGGATTACAGACCACTGACTAAAGTAAGAAGCCATTCTGATAATAAGTAGATGCACAGAAGAGAAGGCACAGATCTGCTCTGCAGTAGACAACCAGCTAATAAATGCGGAGAAATAATGGAGTTACAAAACCAGCATTTTGCAGCCATCATGGCATTAGTAGATTCAGGTGGCTGTCTTCCATGGATTCTAAAACAGGAGTAAAAGTGGGATGAGAATGGGGATTTATGGTTTGGAAGTCGCTGGGTAGAGATTTCGGTCAGGGCCCCAAATCGTTCACAGTAGAAGTGATTTGCTTTCCCAGGTCTTGCCTCATGGGAACATCAGCTCCCTGAGGCTGGTGGCCCTTTTGCCCACTGCGGTAGCCCCAGTACCTCGCCAAGTATCGGAGACATAGCAGATGCTCAATACATACTTGTAAACTGAACGAGGGACTGGACTAGGAAGGTCTCTTAGGGGCAGGGGTTGGGAAAGTAGAAATGGTTCTGCTTCATCTGTTGTACTTCCCTTTCCCACAAGTGCGTGTTTTCTTCAGTACAGTGTTCCAAAGCAGAAGCGGTGGTGGGCGTCCACTCTCTTAAATGTTAACTGTGTAATAAACATGAATCACCAAAAAGTGCTTTTAAAATAAGGTTAATGGAGCTGCGTTTATTCCATTTTGTTGCATGGTTAACTAGATGCAAATAATTACTAGCGCCACATTTATGGACGCTCGTTTTAAGGTTATTGTATGTAGCTCTGTGAAGTGAAGGCTTTTGTTTTTCCCTCTTGGTTTTATAGGGCACTGTGGAATAGAATGTTCAATAAAGGCCTGCTACAAAGGGGTACCCATCCTGGAGGATGACTCCCCAATGCCCAGGCCCCCTGTGCTAATTCCTATCGGGGACCCAACCTATCCCAGGCTGGGCCATGCCTTTCATATCCTGCATGAACCAAATGCAGGAGTGAAGTGTGGTCCCCTGGGTGTTTCAAGAGAAGAGGGGACAGCTGACATGTCACTTGTCACTTCCCCTGTCAACATTATTGTTACCTGTTTGGAATTAGGGACCATGCCAGCCCACCCCACCCCCTCCTTTTTCTCTGCAGCGTGCAGAGCTGAGTGCTTAATCGACATTTGCATAAAATGCCATAAATCATAGGATCTTAAAGCTGCAGAAAGGCTGAGAGGTCAACCAAGTGATGAACAGGAAAGCCTGAACGGCCGGGGAAGCCAAGGAGTCAGGAAGAGAGACAGGTGGCTGCCGGTGTGCATGCCTTTTGGTCACTGCCTCGTTTCATACTCACCTTGCCCTGCGGAGCCAGGATTGCCGTGTCCACTTGGCAGATGGGAACACCGAGGCACACAATGATGGCCGGCCTGGGATTCTCAGCAGGATCTGATCTGACTGACCCCAGGCTTCACGCTCTGTCCATGGGGCCTCACGGGAACCTGGGGATCTGGTCATCTGGGGATGCATGACTGAGCCTCCGTTTCTCCACCTGTGAACTGCTTGTGGACACGTTCTGTAAATGAGTTACACAAAGAGTGGAAAACTGAGTCGTCAGCACGCTGACAGAGAATGGGGTACCCAGAGAACCCTGGCTCTGTCCCTGGCAGGGATCAGAGGCAAAGAAAAGAGTTACAAATGTGGGAGTCAGACAGAACTAGGTCAAGTGCTACCTTTTCTGTGTGATTACTGCGTGAACTCGGGCAGGTAACTTTATCTGCTCTTCTACCTTCGCTTCATAAATGTCCAGAGTCGTGGTCACGTGCGGTCAGAGGTCTGACTGTCTGGGTTTAAACGGCTCTGCCACAGATGATCTGTATGACTCCACACAAGTGGTTTCTCATCATTGTCATCGTCATCACCACCATCTACATCCTCCTCCTCCTCTTCATCAGCACCATCATCGGTATCACCACCGTCATCATCAAGGTACAGTGCGCATGTGATACAATACATAAATCTAAATGCAGAGCCTGAAGAGTTTTTACATCCTCCTACCCTGTGTAACCACCACCAAGATCAGGTTCTAGAGCACTTTCAGCCACCCAGCAGCCCCTGCCCTTGGCCCTCCCAGTCCACCCTGCCCTCCGTCCCCAGAAGTAATCACTGCTCTATTGTCATCACATAGTTCTGCTTCTGAACTTCATACGGATGGAACCACGCGGTGCCTTCCTTTGTGTCTGGCTTCTTTCACTCAGCAGCATGTCTGAGATGCATCCACGAAGCTGCGGCTGCACAAGCCCATTCTTTCTCATTGATGTATGGTATTCTGTGGTGTGACTTCACCACAGTGTGTTTATCCGTTCTTCTGTTGATGGACATATGGGTTATTTCTAATATTTAGCTCTTACAAATAAAGATCCTATGAACATTCTTGTGCACATCTTTGGCGTCCCTAAATACGTGTTTTTTAGGAGTCTACACTTAGGAGTGGAACTACCAAGTCATAGTTTAGACCCATATTCAGCATAAGGAAATGTTAGTGTAAGGGTTTTATCTCCTCTGTTCCTCCCCTTCCTCGTCTGTAAAATGGTGCCAACCTCTTAAGGCCGTTGTGAGGATTAAATGTAGAATAAGATGTACAGCTAGATATCAATTATGTAAAGTTTCAAAACCTGCATGAACAACAAAATATAATGTGTACGGCTACATAATTGTGTAATAAACATTTTAAAAATCTATTGACGTAGTAAACTCCAAATATAAACTCCTGGTTGGAAAGTAGAAGAAAAAACTGGGATCAGGGTATGTGCATGGGGACCTCAGCTACAGCTGTGACGTCTTGTTCCAGTAGAAAAAGATCTGGAGCAAATAGAGCATGCAGTTAAGATTTTTAAAAGCTAGTGTTTATTATATTTTCTGTATTCTTGCCTGTATGTTTGAAATACTTTTCATTTAAAAAAAACATTATTACTAAAATGTAATATTGGGGCTTCCCTGGTGGCGCAGTGGTTGAGAGTCTGCCTGCCGATGCAGGGGACACGGGTTCGTGCCCCGGTCCGGGAGGATCCCACATGCCGCGGAGCGGCTGGGCCCGTGAGCCATGGCTGCTGAGCCTGCGTGTCCAGAGCCTGTGCTCCGCAATGGGAGAGGCCACAACAGTGAGAGGCCCCGCCAAAAAAAAAAAAAAAAAAGTAATATTAATCTCCAAAATATTAATACTATGTAATGGTTTGTAACCTGCTTAGGATACAGTATGCAACTAAGTGCTAGCTATTATTATCATTAATACAAAGAGCCCATTGTACATGTAATTTTCACCCTTCTTCTTGCTGGGTAATTCACACCTCAAAAACTTGGTCCAGTGTGGATCCAGCTCTCACACTGTTGCTGGCACAAAGGAGGCCCTCAGTAAACCCTAGCTCTGGACATTTTCTTAAGATGATCAGAAGCCACCAAGCATGGCGGTTTTGACTAAATATGTCAGCCGTTCCGTGTGTCCAACTCCAATCACACTAGGAAACAAAGACCCCAGGAAATCTGTGCATTGGAGGGAGCCGTGGAATGCATGCTCCCAGCTCAGCCCAAGAACCTGGCCAGCTGAGTTATTCTTTTTCTCTCGAGACCTGCACGGGGTACCCAACAGCCAAGCTGCCCTTGACAACAGGCTCGGGCTCTAACAAATGCGATGCTGGAACTATTTATTTTCCAAACGTGTTTGAATTTTGACTCATTGTGGAGATGCAGTTGGGAATAAAAAATGACCAGGAAACACACACACACACACACACACACACACACACACACACACACATGTTCACACCTACAGAGAATAAGCCAATAGCAACCACCCTTCCTAGGAAAAAATGGAAAAGATGAAGATAAGCAAAAGAAGCTTTTTCGTATCACTTCAATTAAGAGGAACAAAATAGTCCCCAGGCATACATGAGTGTGTTTGTGTATGTGTGTGTCTGTGTGTGCACCTGTGTGTTTGAATTGAAAGGGGAGAGATTAGATGGAGAGGGAACAGAGCGCTTAGGGGACTTCCTTGGCCCCCAACCCTTAACCAAAAAGATGCTTCTTGACTTGCATTCCACAAGCTGGCTGGACAGAATAAACGTGGATTTTATTTTAATAATGTCTTAGGCATGACAAGGGTTCCTTGGATCTAGCAGAATGGGTGCCCTGCCCTGGCATAGTGTGTAGCATGCAGGATGAAATGTTGTTTCTGGGCTCTGGTGAAAGTGGAGCAGAGGAAGCAGTTGTGCCTCTAATTGCTCCATCGCGGGCTTGGTTTACAGTGATATCCATGCCCTGGCCTCCAGTAGATCAGCATCATAAAAAGAGAGAGAAATAGCAGCCCATTAGGACGGGAAGCAGGGATGCTGGAGAGCAGGTGGACAGGAGCTCCACACTTAGGTCAGCTCTGCCAGTTGAATTTCACTGGTGAAATCTTGGGGACAATGAGGGGTTTCTTCTGCCCAAAATAAATGGCATTTGGAGCCTTTGGGTTTGAGATCTGCCTCTGCCACTTCTAAACTATGTGCTGGCCCCCTTGAAACTCAGTTTGTCCATCTGCAAAATGGGGCAATGCCATCTGCCCTGGGTTAGGGTGACAACTATAATGAAGGATGTCTAACACCATGTCTGGCACAGTGCCACTAATGCTGACTGGGTCTTATTTTTAGAGGAAAGTAAGATTCAGACTCTCTGAGCAGGCAATCTTGTAGGAAAGACATCACGTCCAATTGGGACCAATAGAAAGGGGCTCAAGATTGTGGAGCTCTCTGTAAGAAAGGCAGCCAGGTGCTGCTGGGCACTTGTCTGAAATGCAGCTGGAGCTGGTGCAAATGGCAAACTGGGCTGAATTCTCCAACGTACCTGATTCTTCTCATCAGCAACGGTGACCAGGGGAAGCAGAGGAAACTCTTTGTTAATCTCCTAATAAGCACCTACCACCTTCCATGTGTTTTACACACACTGTCTCATGTAATATTTTATCCTTATAATGATGCTATTTTCCTCTCTGCTGGACATCTATTGGTTTTACAGCCTAGCTTCCAATCCTCCTTTCTGCTAAAGATACATTTATACATTTTATTCCAGAATGAAGTCCCCATATGCTTCTGAGAGTGCTGTTCTGTGCCTGCTATGGGAGAGCAGGAGTCTGGCCATGACTTAGGCCTGACTAGTCAATGTATGCCATTCCTCTGGTGGCAGTGATTGACAGAGATGAGCATGTGACATATGACAGAAGCGAGGCTCAATTGCAGGATGTTAGCTGGAACTACTGGGAAAGGGATGGTCTTTCAGTGACAATTGCTAAACTGGGAGGATATAGGTTTGGAGCTGCTGGCACCCTTTTTGTTACCATGAGGTAAGGTCTTGCCTAAGAATGAAACCAACACAAAGAAGTCAGAGTAGAGATGAGTCAGATGTTTTTAATACTGTTTCATTTTAAAATGGTTTACAGTTGTTCACAAGGAGTTGCAAAAGTAGTAATACTTCACCCAGTTTCGTCCAATGATAATATTTTACATAACCATAGTAAAATTATCAAGACCAGGAACATGACATTAGTACAATGCTATTAACTTGAATACAACCTGATTTGGATGTCACTAGTTGTATGGGAACTTTTTGGGGTGGGTGTATAGTTCTATGAAATTCTATCACATATGAGTATTTGTCACCATGAACAAGGTGTAGAGCGTATCCATCACCACAAAGAAACTCCCTCAAGCAACCCCCAAATGGTCACACCCCACCCCACCCTTAATGCCTGGCAACCCCTGATCTGTTCTTTAGAGCTATAACTGTGTCACTATGAGAATATTCATATATAGCATTCTTTTCTTCATCTTTGAATATTTCCATCTTCCAGATGAATCATATATAGCACATGAACTTTCAGGAGTGGCTTTTTTTTCACTCAGCACAATGCCCTTGAGATCCATCCAAGGTGTTACATGTATCAATAGTTTGCTCCTTTTCATTGCTGAGTAGTATTCCTTTGAAAGGATGTACCATCGTTTGCTTAACCCTTCACCCACTGAAGGCCAAGTTATTTCCTGTTTGTGGGTATTAGGAATGAAACTGGTGTGAACATCCATGTACAGGTTTTTATGCGAAGATAAGTTTCATTTCTCTACAATAAATACCCAAGAGTGAGATTGCTGGATTATATGCTAAGTGTATTTTAACTTTATAAGAAACTGTCAAACTGTTTTCCAGAACAGTCCCCCAACAGCAGATTGGGGGGCATATGACCTTCTTCTTGCCCATGTTCTCCTGATAGGCAACACCGCATTTGTCCCTGGATCACAGAAAACATACACTTTCCCCCTTCAGCGTCTGTACTTAGGAGCAAATGTGAAATGAGATTCACAACTTGCATTCAAAAACAACTTTTATTTTTTCTGATTATAAACAAGATGTTTGGTCATGGCAAAAGCACAGGCAGACCTCGGAGATATTGTGGGTATGGTTCCAGATCACCGCAATAAAGCAAACATTGCAATAATGCGAATCACACAAAATGTTTGGTTTCCCCATGCATATAAAGGCTATGTTTACACTACATAGTAGTCTGTTAAGTGTGCCATAGCATTATGTCTAAAAACCAATGTACATACTTTAATTTAAAATAACGCTTTTGGAAAAATGGTGCCAATAGACTTGCTCGAAGCAGGGTTGCCACAAACCTTCAGTTTGTAAAAAATTCAGTATCTGTGAAGCACGGCAGAACAAGGTGTGCCTGTATTTGGAAAATTCAGCAAAGGGTAAAGAAGAACTAAAAATCTCCCATAAACTCACGCCCCAGGTGAAACCACCCTTGGGATTTCAGTGTTGGAATCTCAAGGTTCATCCTCACCATCCTCTTTAAACGTCTACAAGTCACCATTCATCCTTGGCCGGTGGGGTGGGTGCCAGGTTTTCTCTTTCCTTTAATAAGAAGGGAACTGAAACAAAACAAGATAAAAGATTGG